AGTCTCTAGGGCCTAGAAAGGAAACACGTTCAAGCAACTTACATATCCGATAAATCCATAGACCCATCCTGTAGGTTTTCTTGCAGGCTGAGCTGACTGAACCTTATAAGCCTATAGACCTGTGCATGTAAATATTTAAATGCACGTAAAGACTCGTGAGCATTAGACTTTAACATTCTTATAGTATAGTATCACTTAGTTTTTGAGCCTCTGCTACTGAACGTACGTAACACGCTTTCCCTCTGTGTCTATCTCTGTGAAAATGTCTTACCTTTAAATCAGCAGGTCTCTGCGACCTGGCAATAATTATGTGAAATAGGCTTGGATGCTAGCCAAAAGGAGAGAAGTAGTTAACAGTTAAAGAGGCTAGAAACGAGAGAGAACAAGAGAGACAGACTGATCTAACAACCTGAGAAAGCAATAGATAAACCTCCCTAATGCTTCTGGCTCCTGGTTGCTTATGAGGAAGGACTCAAACTTGAAACTTCACCCTTGGCCTCACCCATGTTAGCATGGGTGAAGCAAGCAGAATATGTTTAGTCCGCTCAGTCTTCCTGAAAGGCAAATCTAGGTAACAGGAAGAAAGGATCTTTTGCAAGGAGATTTCTCGGTTCAGGTAAAAAAAAAAAACCTCTACTCTTAGAGGTACTGCAGTCTGGGATCTTGTGGCTTTATTTCACTCAATTACAAGCAGAATGGAAAGAAAAATTTTCTGTTACAAAATCTGAAGTCAGCGGAGGAAGGGTGCATGGCACTCTGGGTAACTGACTGCCATCATGATCGTTTTAATACAGGATATGCCTCCTTTGGTAGAAGTCTTGTACATTGAAGGGCTGGATAATGACTCAGCTGAGAGAGCCAGGCCCCAAGTTCTTAACCATGTAAGTGGAAAAAATGACATTACATGTGTAGAACTATAATTTTTCCATGAAAAGAATATCAATTCTATTCTCTTATTTATTGTTAGCATGACTACTTGATATGTTTCCAACTGGTTTAACTTAAAGAAATACAGGTTTTCTTCTGTCTGGCAATGACCTGTACAATGTCCTGCCAGCTGTATCTTAAAACAAGAAAGAGTCAGCTTGAAGTCAGAAAGAACAGTATGGGTAATTCTTCAGGTAGTCGGGTCCTTGTTCCTCAGGTGGAGTGGGTAAATATCCGCTTGAGTTACTACTATATTATAATCTTCCAACAGCAGCTAAGTGGTTTAAAATCATTCCTAAACTGTGAACCCAGGAAACTATTGATGGACACATTTGCTCAATGAAAGGGACTGTTATTATCCCTACCATCTCCTCCAGCTAGTTTCAACAACCCACCATCATCATCTCATCTTGTGGAGATTCATCCAACTCTCATCCATGGCCCAGTCACAGCCAGACATTTTGCCCCACCCTTACTACAAGTTTTCTTGCAAGCAAATGGTGACTGAGGCCAGCGTTTATACTAGTATATTGAAAATTAGGATAGCTGTGAAAAATCAAAATGAGAAAAGATCATAGTAGAAATAGGGGATGCATAGAAAGTGCACTGTACATCTGCAATTTATAGATGTGGTACACAGCATGACAACCCCTTGGTCAAGCCAATGGGTATATTCAAAAACTGAAGAACAAGATGAATGAGTCCTCTTGAAACTTCTGCTAAAAGAAACACTACACACACTTAACTAGCATAAGCTAGTTCATTATAACAAAAGAGTACCTTCAAGTTTAAAACTAATGATGACTTTCAAGCATGGTGTAATTATTGCACCACTGGGACCTCATATGTCACCAAACTTTCAAATGTAAAGGTTGTGCCTACAAAATTAAGCCATATATTCCTATTAATTGAAGCAGTGGATTTCCAGTTACACAATATTAGTTTTAATGTTAAGACTATTAGAAACCTATTCTTTTGACTATTGATTTGCAATGCTAAGATGGCACCTTTTAAAATGATCAAGGCTAGTGTAAGGATGGTAGTCACACAGGTAGTATTATAAATAAAAGTGACTGTCCTAGATGTCATCAGCAAGTTAAGCATTTGAATAACCTTGGAGGAGTGGTAGTTTTGCAAGTAAAGGGTAGAGAACCAGCTAGAAAAATGTGGATGAGGACATCTACTATTAAAATAACTTCCTTCAAAATTGCCTTTATCTGATGCTTTCAAAGCACTTTACGTTCACTAAACCTTTCAGAATCTTTGTGAAATGATCCAGAAATGCAGGCACCTTTGCCATACCACTTTGACAGCGAACAGTGACACTCGGTAACCAGTCTGAACAGGAAGTGTGGAATTCCATTGTGGGGATGTAAGGATCTGAACCGGAATTTGACCGAGGCACACAGGTTAGCATTCTTATTCTTACAAAATAGTATCATGAAATCCTCAGAAACTGGTGCTCAGGACTTCTGTCTTGCATCTGAGCTGAAAGACAGAAATGCTTTCTGCAACACTGTGAAGGAATAAAGGCAAGCACATGAATGACAGCTGGTTTTTGTTGTAATGAAAACTGAGTTGCAAAACTGCCAGCAGAAACGCTCAGAAAATCATGACTCAGACCCACCAAAATGATTAATTTAAAACCCTGAGATTTAAAAATAATAAATGTGGGGTCTTTTTCTTTGCCTTTTCATTTTTGAGCCTTTACATTTACATTTTCCACCTTTCTTCTAGAACCACAAGGACTGGAGATAAAAGAGGAGATTCTCACGTTAACATATGACTCCAAGAATTGGTATGTTAATTAAAACACCAAAATAGTGCAAGTCCCCTGATAAAACTACTTGGAATGTTGTTCCTTCTTTGAGGCTCGTCCTTTCATGACCTTCCTGCATGCCTCCCATTAGACGGGTACTGGCAAGCACCCCTAGATACCCAGGAGTAAGAGAGAGAGTCTCTCCTCCCATGAGTATTATGGAAATCAGATTTCATTGGTTACCCAAATCTGAATGTGCAGCAGATTTGCTTTCCTGCTGTTTTCTCAGAAACAAACCATATATGGTTCCAAAGCAGAGGTAGAGACTCAGATTTGTTAGCAGCTTTGCAAACCTGTTTGAAAGTCAGTTCAGCTCTCACAACTGAAAAATCCTTAGTATTTATGTTGTAGGACTTTCAAACTACTTTTTGCACTGGACTTCTTTAAGCAAACTTTACATGCTCTGCTACATTAGATAACCATACTGTTATGGTAAGATTTGAGTATGGTTCAAATATTAAAGGAAAATAAGATCTATCTAACAATACCTATGCTTCGATTCACAAGCCATTCTACCGTGGTATTTATATGGCCCTCATTGCCATAATTGTTGGCACTGTTTGTGTCTATCCTCAGAACAGCCTGGTGAAGAAAGCATTTTCTTTTACACCACTTCACGGGTGGTTAATTGAGACTCAGCTGCTCAAGTGATCACAGAGGTCTTGAACCTAAGTCCTAAGCAAACACTCTATTTGCTGGATTGTCCCTATCTTGTAACTACTCTCATATGTAATATAGTAGAAATAACCACATACGGAAGGGCTAATGTAGTGGTTATCAACCTGCAGCCAACGGGCTGCATGCAGTCCAGGCAGCACGCTACTGCATCCCATGTGACATCCTGTTAAAATATGGATGTTTTAAATGGATACACAGGCAGTAAGTTGTGTGGGTGCAGCCCACATAACACATTGAAAGCTGCAAGTATGGCCCACTGTGGCAAACAGGTTGAGAACTAATGGGCTAATGAAATGGTCCCTAAATAACCACCAACATAATGCTCATTTTAGTAATCCACAGGAGGCAACCTCCCTGATTCATACAAACCTCTCTCACTTGCATATCCCATTCTGCTTTCAGCAAGCCCCATCATCATCAGAAAGGGCCACTATCGAACAAGCATGCTTTTTTGCAATAAAACTCTTCTTTCAAACCCCTTACAAAGACTGGTGATTGTTTTTTAAACCTAAGTTAAATCATAATATTGCTTGTTAAGTATCACAAATAGTTGATGTGCCATGGAATACAGCAGTTGCTATAGAAGTTGTATTTAAGGAATATCAAAACAATTAGTCAGACCTATAAGAATACAAGAAATTTAATACCAGTTAACTCAAGGTTGCTGGACTATACGCTAATCTGCTGGAAATCTTAAATTAGATTCACATATGTCAGCATGAGTCAATGACATCTTCGCAGAAGCAGGAGAAGCAGTTTTACTTGGAAAACCAATTCTAGGAATCGCTTTAATCTACACATGAAAAATTCAATAGCTATAAAAGGTAAAATACAGAATCAGCCACACCCACGTGACATAAATACAAAAGTGTTTCTTGCATCACCAAGGGCCTATGCTCTGGCATAGCAATCTCCAGCTGAAAACTGCAATGAGTAATCCTATGTCGGTTAATTTGCATCAACTGTCCCAGTTTGCATCAACTGTCCAAAGCATTACTTTACCACCCACCCTGAGTAACTGCACAGCTCCAGGAACAGATCAGGAATCAAGTTTAGCTCTGATAGTTTGGTCTTCCCCTCATTTTTGGAGGTAGGCAGAGGAAATGAGCCTTGCACGTTGCAAGCTAGTTGCCCATTATTGCTCTTTTGATGCATCTACATGAGACATTTACTGTGGCACTGATGAATTAGCTCTCCAGTAAACATCTTGGCATCTACATCTGCAGGCCAGTTAGGTTGGAGTAAACTAATTTTTCACTGCATGGTAGTGCACATGTAGATGCTGATGAGGGTGGCTGGGGCATGAGAGGGCTTTAGTGTGGAGGCTGCTACTAGGCCTGCTGGCCAGCCCCACACTGGAATGCCATTGTGCCCCAGCTAGCCCCTCTGCAGTATGTTGAGTCCAGTTGAAGCAGCCCTGGGTTGGCAGGTTGAATGTCTGGGCCCACTGCCAGCCAGGGCTGCCCCAAATCCTGGGCGCATGTTCAAACAGCACGCCTGGGAGCAATAAACTCTGGGGCAATAAACACTGGAATTTATTGCTTCACATAAATTGCATGTGCAGCCACACCCTTCGAGTAATTTGGGGCAATTTTGCTTTAAACTTACCCCTGCTCCTTGATGGCAGGGGCTTCATGAGGCCCCACTCTGTGGTCACAGAGTGACCTGATCAGAGCAACACCCGGGAAGGCTCAGCTCTCAGTTTCTACTGGAAGGTTTGTGTGGGACTGTTCGAATTTAGGGGGGAAGCGGGGGCCATTAATCTGCTTAAATGACAGCTTTTGCTCTGTTTATTTGCTGCTCTTTCTTTATTGTTTTTCATTATTTTTACCTGGCAGTATTGTAGGACTGTGGGAAAGATGAACTTTCCATCTACCGAGGTGCTGATTGCAATTGACAGCCTATCAGCCTGGGTAGAATATCAGCTCTTGATACAATTGACTAAACTATCTCCGAGTAATCCATCGCTTGGTTTCCTGAGTCAGTGCTTAAAGCTAGGAGCTTTGCTAAAACCACTGCAGCTGCATCTCTCAGAGCTCACAGGGCCCAGTTCCAGGAAGTGCTAATACCACCTGAGTATCTGCAACTTCCTCATTATCTCCAATTCCCACTGAGCCTTGCCATCTTTTGCAATCAGGCCCCAATTATCACCCAAATAAATACTAGCATGAGGCAGACCTGTGATATGCATTTTATTTATTTATTTATTTTTTATGCAGCAACATATATTTTGCCTTACAAAACATTTTTACATAGAAATGCTGCAGAGGTACTCCAGCAAAATTTGGCTGAGACACCGACAACATCAGATGCATGTATTAGTCAGGCAGTGTTGTTTTAGATGAATATTAATTTCACTGAAGAATATGTAAACAGAGGGCTTTTCAGCTTCTGGTTTCCGAACAGCATTTTTCTTTCTAATAATCGACCAATTAAGAGAAGAAAAAGACCAAACAAAACAGATTGCCTATATATTTTGGAGCAATTGCATATGATTTTTCTGTGGGATTTTTGCTGAATCTCTGGGTGTCATTGGCACATTATCAAAACTGGGATTGACAGGTGAAAAATTCTATCCCTACTACAGGTTAATATTGTCCAAGTTTATGTGCAGCTGTCTCTGCCTTCGCCAGCATTAACTGCTGTGTTGTGATATATAATTGCATGAACTTAATAAACCCTGGCTTTTGGCCTCATGAGTAAAATAATTTTAAAAGGAGGAATTGTAGCACAAATGCTGGTGTGAAGTAAAACTATGGGATGAGGAAGGAAAAACCCAGCAGAAGGTGTGGTACATGAGCATGTATTACAGATAATAAAAGTCTTAGTTCTTAAGGCAATGAAAACTTTTGCTTCGTATTAGATTCAAAAGGAGTTGTTGCATTCTTAAAGCTAAGCATGTGATGATAGACTTTGATGCAGCCTTCAAGCTGGCAATATTTCTACTTTACTGCTTTGTAATATTCTATTATTCTTACTAGTTAGTATAAGGTAGTGGTGATGCCAGCAGTGTTTATAATAAGGTTGTTACAGAAAATATATGAAATCTTCCCTAGGTATCTACTTGTAAGTGCTTGTTAAGCATTCAATTTTTTACTGCCATCCGATTATGTTGTTGAGTAAGGTATCATTCTTCAAGCAAAAGGAAGGAGTATAGCTTCAGTCATGCAGACGGTAAGATAGATTTCAGCTTGTAGAGGGGTGTGTTGATTAAAATAGTCTCATGCTGGAGAGTTAAACTGTTTTATAATATTGTCTATAAAACTCACTATAAGATTTTTCCCCCTCCCATTTCGATTCACAGAAATTTCATTTATTTAGATAAAAAAAGAAAACAAAAAACAACGTGGTTAGTTCCATAATTAGGGAGAAACTTTCAAAGGGTGCCTGGTAGTACAAACACCAATCCTGTTAAAAGAGGAATCTTGAGCAATGCTTTGAAAATACCCCCGCTTGGAGTTTGGGATTTTTTTTAAAGTCTTGCAGCTGGCATCTGCAGAGTGACTTTGAAGCCTCTTTCATGATTTTTTTTTTTTTTTTAAATGCTGTTGGCACAGGGAAGATTTAAGGTACTTGACTAATTTTTAATCAGGGACATGAGTGAGGATATAATAGCTGTGAGGATTTCTTTCACTCGACTTAGCTTAGGAGTACAGTAGAGGAAGCCTGCTGATTGAGGAGTAACACTCCCAGTACTGAAGATGACTGCGCAGCATAACAACAGAGCATTACACGCTTCATTCTTTTGTTGCCAAACCAAAGGAAGGAACAAATAGAAGAATGGATGTTAAATAAATCTAGTGCAAATGAAAGCAATTACTCTCAGGCCAAAAGCCAGTTTTGTCTTTCATGAAACAGATGCAAGAAAAATATTCCCTGGAATTCTAGAGACCTTGGAGTTTGGGTAACGTAACAGTCACATGAATAGCTAATTATCAGTCATTTCTCACCATTTAGCTGCTGTGGTTCCATGATATTGAAAACTTCCATGTAACTTGTTAAAGATATAACTGCATTTTGTTTCCTTAAACTTGCATAGAAATTCCATCATGAGAAACCATACTGAACCCCAAATTTGGAGTCTTCATCAGTGCACAGGGGTGGACCCAGAGTGGGTACGGTGGTGCCCTCCCCACCTTTCAGACCATGCTCTTGGAGCAGCAGCTAGGGGATTAAGTCCCTGGATCAGATAAAAATTCCCGTTCTCTCCCCAATGACTGCTGGCACAGCGGTGGCAGTGGTAGGCAATGGTCCTGGGCACCCAGTCACCCCAGGAGTTCTTTGAGAGCCTGGGGGCAGGCTCATGGAGGGGGAAACCACCTATCCCCACCACCACCACTGTCCCCAGCCGAGCCCAGATCCCCACATAGCCCATTTGCATTTGCAGCAACTTCTCCCATCCATGGAGCAGCCAAAAACAGGTAGAACAATGATAGCTTCAAGCAAGGAAGGGAGGATGGGAAGTGAGGGCCCATGTCACTGAGCTTGGAGGGGAAAGGGACAGCATTCTTACCAAGTTTGGGCACTTAAAACAGTCCCCCAGCTGCTGCTGCTCCTCCTGCAGCATCGTCTGCCCACCTAAGGGGGAATAGGGGATACAGCCACTCCTGAAGCTCTGATCACTGCTCCTGCACCCTACCTTAAAAAAAAAACCCTGCACCTGCCCATGGCAGTGCATGCTCAGAGGCTCTGTGGAGATGTTGGGCAGCACACGAGCCTTACGAGGCAAAACGTGTGCAGCGAGGCAGAATCTTTAAAGAACTGAATAGCCAAACCACAGCAAACACGTGAACTGATTTTTTTTTTTTTTTTTTTTTTAAAAGGCTTATCCTGGCAACATTTCGGCACAGTTTTATGGGGACAGCTAAATATAAATCCCTGACAAAAAGGTTCCCCTCCTGCCAAATTTCAAATCCCTCCTCCAAGGCATGAAAGCTTTTGATCTTTGCAATGAAAACAGTTGTCAGAATTATTTTTAACATGGTAAAACAAAGCATTTCCCCTCCTCTTGCTCACGGAGAAAGGCTGAAACTTTTTTGCTAAAACTTTCTGGGGAAAAAAAAGCTTGAAACACAGACACCATGAAAAATGTCAGTCCCCCACAGTTAGCATGCTAAAGAATGGGTGACGCAAATTATTTTATAATATGAAGTCATGGTGCTACTCATTCTGACTCACGGAAGATTTAGCAGGGCAACCTGACAAACAGTAGTGGTCAACCCTACCCTGTGGAAAGTAGAAGGTATACTGGGACAATTTACCCCTAAATGAATGGTACACTGAATTACCACTGTTTAGCTTCCACTTACTGTGGGAAGAGGGCAAGCAGATAAATGTTAGTGTTTCAAGCTGATGTAAATCTTCATCCCCCTTTAATATGGCAAATCTATTTTCTCTGCTCATACCCTGAGATCAAAGTGGCCTCTTTTACATCTTTCAGTCCCAAAATACATGCAATGTTTTTTAAAGACTATAACGGAGGATGCAGTATGCTATGCATCATTGCATCTAGCACATATGTCTTTTTCGTATAGGATGTTACCATTGCGCAAAGCACAATATATATATGTAAATTCAGTCAAAAAATGAATTCAACCTTTGATTTAAAAAGCAAAACAAAAAAACAGCACCGTCTGCACATCAACAGTCTACATTGAAAGGCAATCCCAGATTGTAGGGGAAATAGCTGCCAGTCTGAATAAGGAAGAACATAGTCAGATGGCAGGGAAGTATTTGTACTAGTTGTATTAACAGAAGCAGTGACCTTTACACACTCCAAAACAAGCCATATGGGCCTTGGATCACAGCAACCGTGTGTCAGACAACACTCCTGAATCATTTTTTAACATGGCAGAAATAGTCCATTTTCAAGACCAATAGAAAACATCACATAAGAAATCTTTGTTCTTAGTATCCTCCATTTTAAAAGAAGGGAAATGCACATTTCTGTGTAACCACTTCTCAAAACCTTCACCAGAAAGTTTGTATAAATGTTGGCCTATCTATTGTTTAGGATGGGAAACAGATGGGCTGTAGTTTATAATTCCATCCACAGGCCAAATTAAATTCACTGGCTTGTTCTTACTAGAATTAATGAAAGTTGAATAACATGCACTGGCAGCCCTTAAAGCCCTCTGACTTTTTTGGCAATGTAAGACGACCATGCCTTAAGTACACATACAGTCGCATTCTTCCCCAGTGGAACGCCACTGAATTCAGGAGATTTAAATTAGGGATGACTGTGGCCCAGTGTCCTCACTATGTCTTCACTGCTAAGGCCTTCGTGCTCCTGATAGTCATCTGTGAAGCAGGAAGAACTGCAAAAGTAACTGAGCATACGAGTTGTGTTTATCCATTAAGCTTCTGAGAATCAAATTGTATTCCCCCTTGACAACACTGATCTTCATCTGAAACTAATTAACCCAGTATTGTAAATTTGCTTGATGAAGAGTAACATGCTGGCTTTTGCATGCCGTTGACAATTATATTAATGGAGTATTCAAGGTGGCTGGGGTGGTAAACAGAACAAATTTAAAATGTAATCTGGAAGATACTGGAAAAGAAAATAGCATCTCTCAGAGTCACAAAGCAAAGACCAAATCCATTTTGTGACCTTTTCTTCAGTGAAGCTAAAAACAGGCTGAACTATGTTTGGAGAATCTCAAATAGTTTTGTAGTTCTTGTATCAGAAATGTGAGTCTAACCAAGTCTTCAGCATTGCAATGAGGAGGGGCTTCAAAGTAATACACCAACGACCAACTCGAAGTGTTCAGAGGGAAAAAAATGAGAATGAAACCATCTGGTAGATAAATAACTGAAAGTTGGCCCATTAAATTCAACAATGCTCGACACCTCACTTGGCTATTCAGCTGTGAACCAAGAGACTTCAGTGAACTCAGTGCTTAAAAGATATGTTATGCTTTATAGCAGTACTCTAATCTGACTTCTTCCACTGCCATGACAGCAGAAATGTTCTAAACCAACAGGGCAATCTCTGCATGCTGCAAAATTGGAAAGGAGCCCAGCAGAGAGGCAGCCAGGCTTTCCAGGTTCTGTCACTAATTTTAAAAGTCAAAGGAGTCAGATGCTGCAAAGAAAGAGATTTTAAGAACTGCAAGTTTAGATCAGGCAACTATGGCCTCAGTCCAGTGGAATATTGCACCCCAACAAATCTCCAGAGCCCTTTAGATATAAAGATACGACCTTCCACCAAGGGCCAGAACATGCTTCCTCCCCATTTTATGATCCGTAGAGCTATCACCAAGCTATCGCTCACACTCCTGCCTGTCTCTGATTCTAAGTCAGTATATTCCTTACGTTATGCCTATCTTCCAATGCCAACCAACTTTCCTTTAGGTTATTATTAGGCCTGTAGAGTGTTTTTCACTGATCAGAGTTCCATCACAGCGCTTTTATCATCTATTTTAGTGCAGCTTGCAATCGGTTAAAAAAAAAAAAATCAGTTAGCAACTATGAGGCACTTTTGCTGCTCCTCCTCCCCCACCGCCAACACTTCTGAGCCAGCATCAATATGACCTGAAAAAAAAAGTAGCAAAGTTGAGGCACTCTGTCCCTTCTCCACCTGTTTTAGTCCTTGGGTCCTAAAATGCACAGACTGTCACTTCTGTAAGGTAGCTTAGTTTCATGCTGTGAAGAGCTCTTCAATGCCTTTTTAATTCCTCACCCACACATATTAGCAGCAAAGCACTTGGTGTTGCAAGCTTACCATTTAAAGTGCAGCCAAGAGATTTCTGAATGTTCTCGTTTATGCTGTCCACTGCTGAGAACCATCGCGTGAGTATTATATGCTGGATTGCAGGTAATGCAAATGCCATACTACTAATTTATATATATGTGTTTAATTTTATTTTTTTTCCTGTGTACCCTTGCCCACATCTAAGATGACTCCTATACATATTTTTTATTCCCCTCTTTTTTTACTGAACAAAATGCCCCTGCCACTTTCAGATTTACAACTGCAAACACTTTTAGCTTTGCAAGTCTGGACGGAGGTACGGGGGAAAAAATAAAATATGTTGTACTTTTATCATGTGTGTTTGTGATGGTAGCCTGGTGTCGGATGCCAAACTGACTTCCGATTTGCAATGCCTCTGCTTTCCCTGTCCCCCCACCTCCCTCTCCAGCCCTCCCACCTTTGCACTTGGTTTTGACTT